AGTGCCCGCGACCGCGAAATTCAATCGCACCGCCCAGTAACCGCGACAAACGTGTCCACCAGTAGCCGTGTCCAGGAGCCCACGAGCTCATCCGCGCTTCCGCCAAGTCAACGCGAACGAGTGTTAGTGCCCACAGACATTTAACTCACGCAAAGGGTTCCAGCGGCCAAGGCTTCCTGATACAACACACACACGAGAAGACAGCCAAGCGGGACCAATGGAAGCCATGGATTCGGACCAGAAACCTGCCGGTGAGTTCGTTCCACGTTTACTTAAAAACCCTGGGGTCTTTTCGCGGTGGATCTATTCCCGCCCGAAGGCCGAATTACAAGCCTTCGCGGAAGAATTTGGGTTCTCTCCCGACGGGGCCGTCGATGACTTACGGCGGAGCTTTGTCACATTGATTAAGGAATCCGAACAACCACAGAAGTGTGGACTCGACTCGCCGACCTGGAGCGTCGGTATACCACTCGGGGCCCGAGCCCTGTGCCTCAAGGAGAAGAGCGGCCAGTGGTCTCTCCACGAGCAAAAATGCAAATTCTGGACGCCCACGTTGCGTCCCCGGTTCCACTACTCCAGTTCCTCTAACTAGTTTCGTTGTTACCACCCCCAGCTTCACTGTCACCGCCCCAAGCCTCGCCGTCGCCGCCCCTCCTACCTTCACTACCCCTCGAGAAACCTACTCTGAGCCGAGCTACGACCGGCCGGTCGTGATTTTGTGTGCGTCCCAGAGCGGATTATATGCTCGACCTTCGCGTTCTCATGCGCCACGCGGGCTATACCGAGACTCAGGAGCTCGACCGCCTGTACGAGAATATCGCTCCCGAATACCAGATGTACATTCGGCGCAGCGAATTCCAAACAATTGGGGAGCTGGCCCAGCTGGCGACCGAATTCGAAGCTGTCAGACGACGCAGCCTAGGGCGACCCCAAGCCATTTCAACGCCTTCGAGTTGCCCCACCTTCCGTCCGCCTCCCCACGGTGCGGGTCAAACCTTTTCTCCCGGGTGCACCGGGTCAGGCGACACTTCGCGGACACCAGGTCAGGTACGGCCGCCCGCGGCCGTGCGAGTAAACCGGGTAGCGACACCAGACCGCCGCATCAACGTGCGGGATGCGTGCCGAAATAGCGGGGATTCCGGGAATTTCAGCCGCGAATGCCGGAACCCTCGGCTATTCTTTTGCTGGGACTGCGGACGACGCGATGTTCGCACCGTAGAGTGCTGTCGTCGACCCCAGCCGGGAAACGGAGTGGGTCCCCACGACCGGCGGAGTCCGTTGGGGACCAATCCCGCAGCGAACACCCTGTAAACGCGCCACTAAGAATCGAGAGGGGGAGGATCGCCGCAGAGGTCGAGATCGGCGGCCATCTACGCCTGGCCACCATCAACACTGGCGCATCGAAGAGCTTCATCAGCCAGGAAGTCGCCAACATAGTTGGCCAACGACACCAGTTTCAGGAGATCCGCACCCAAATTAACTTGGCCGACACCTCGCGAGTCGAGGTTCGACAACTCCTGCGCGCCGACATCAACGTGCGGGATGCGTGCCGAAATTGCGGGGATTCCGGGCATTTCAGCCGCGAATGCCGGAACCCTCGGCTATTCTTTTGCTGGGACTGCGGACGACGCGATGTTCGCACAGTAGAGTGCTGTCGTCGACCCCAGCCGGGAAACGGAGTGGGTCCCCACGACCGGCGGAGTCCGTTGGGGACCAATCCCGCAGCGAACACCCTGTAAACGCGCCACTAAGAATCGAGAGGGGGAGGATCGCCGCAGAGGTCGAGATCGGCGGCCATCTACGCCTGGCCACCATCAACACTGGCGCATCGAAGAGCTTCATCAGCCAGGAAGTCGCCAACATAGTTGGCCAACGACACCAGTTTCAGGATGGCCGACACCTCGCGAGTCGAGGTTCGACAACTCCTGCGCGCCGACATCACCCTCGCTCGGAAGAAAATCCAGGTGCCCCTCTTCGTCATGCCGGCCATGTTGGAACCCCTGATCCTGGGCATGGATTTCCTGGCCACGATCGGCACCACCATCCTCGAAGCTCAGGAGCCCGCCAACGAGGAACAAGACCCTCGCATCAAAGCGTTCTTATACGAGCAGCTGGTCCAGTTCGAGGGAATGACAGGAGTGGCCAACATCGCCGAGCATAGGATTACCATGCGAGACGATCGGCCCATCAAGCAGCGGTATTTCCCGAAGAACCCGGTCATGCAGAGGATCATCAACGAGCTGGTGGACGCCCTCCTCGATCAGCATTGTATCGAACCATCGCGCAGTCCGCACAGCGCCCCCTTGGTCCTGGTCAGGAAAAATACTGGACAATGGCGCATGTGCGTAGATTATCGCCAGCTGAACGCTAAGTCGATCCCCGATGCGTATCCACTGCCCCGCATCAACCATATACTCGAGCGTCTGCGAAACACGAAGTACATCTCCACCCTGAATTTGCGCAACGGCTATTGGCAGATCCCCATGGAAGCAGGCAGCCGGGCGTGCACCGCCTTTACGGTCCCCGGCCGCGGTCTTTTCCAGTGGCGGGTCATTCCCTTTGGGCTAGATTCGGCTCCAGCCACCTTCAAGCGGGCGCTCGATAGCGTATTCGGACCAGATTTGGATCCCCATGCCTTCGCTTATCTCGATGACATAATCGTCATCGGTGCCACCCTCGAAGAGCACATGGAGAATTTGCGGAGAGTCTTCAAGCGCCTCAGGAAGGCGAACTTGCAGATAAACCAAGACAAATGTTCCTTCTTCAAACGGAAGTTGGTTTATCTCAGCCACGTCATTAGCGACCAGGGCTTTCACACGGACCCTGAAAAGGTAGCCGCCGTGCGGAACCTGAGTCCACCCACGAGTCTTCGGGAACTACGCAGATGCCTAGGCATGGCCTCATGGTATAGGAGGTTCGTACCGAACTTCGCGTCAGTTGTTCAGTCCATGACGAAACTGCTGCGCAAGAACCAGCGGTGGAAGTGGGAGCAAGAACAACAGAAAGCCTTCGAGCTCCTAAAAAGTCTGCTGACGGATGCTCCGGTACTGGCATGTCCAGACTTTTCCGTTAAGATGACGCTCCAGACCGACGCGAGTAACTATGGACTTGGAGGCGTTCTGACGCAAGAAATAGAGGGACAAGAACGGGTCATCGCATACGTGAGTTGGAAGCTAGACGCTGCCGAACTCAACTATTCCCCTACGGAAAAGGAATTCCTAGCCATCGTCTGGGGAATTCGTAAGCTACGATGCTATCTCGAGGGCTATCGCTTTGATGTGACCACAGACCACCTGGCCCTGAAATGGCTAGATCAGATTGAGAACCCGACTGGAAGGATCGCCAGGTGGGCCTTAGAACTACAACAGTATCAATACGATGTCCACTATCGCCGCGGGAAATATAACGTGGTCGCCGATGCATTATCCAGGCAGCCACTGGAGCACCTACAACGGTTAGTGCCAGACAAACGCTTGTGCAAATGGCTGAAACGGAAACTGGCAGATGTTCAAGATGACCCCCAGAGATTTCCCGATTATGTTATTGAAAACGGAGAGCTGTACCGACACCTCGGACACCGCCCAGACGACCAGGACTATATCCCTTGGAAGCTCTGCGTTGCGGCTGAGCATCGAGCACGGATTCTTCAAGAATGCCACGACGCGCCCACGGCTGGCCACCTTGGCACCCGGAAGACGATCCTGCGGATTTCGCAAATATATTACTGGCCAGGAATGTTCCGCGACGTGAAACAATACGTCCGCCAATGCGTCCTCTGCCAGAAATATAAAGCAGAACAGAAAGCACAAGCAGAAAAGATGCTGACGAGACAGGTCAACGAACCCTTTGGCATAGTGTGTGCGGATTTTGTGGGATCGCTACCGCGCTCCAAGGAGGGAAACACGATGCTATTAGTCTTCTTCGACAGTTTCACCAAGTGGGGGAACTGGTCCCATTACGTAAGGCCACCACGACCACGCTGATACAGGCTTTTCGCGAGAGAATCATTGGGAGGTTCGGAGCCCCAAAGAAACTGGTGTACGACAATGGCACCCAATTCACCAGCAAGGCCTTCAGAGAATTCCTCAAGGAGACGGGCGTGGAGCTTCAGTACACGGCCCCATATTGCCCACGCGAGAATCCCACGGAGCGAGCAAACCGTACGGTCAAGACCATGATTTCGCAGTACGTCGGCGGAGACCAGAGTACTTGGGATCAACTGATACCCGAACTGAGCCTTGCCATCAATACCAGCGTCTCGGAGACCACGGGATACAGCCCCGCCTTCCTGTTACAAGCGCGAGAGCCGCGGTTACCAGGCTCATGGTATGATCAAGTGACACCAGGAACAGGCATAGCACCGGAGACCCCTGTCGACCGAGCTGGACGGCTGAAGGAGATTTTTCAGATCGTTCAGACGAATATTCGAAAGGCTAGCCGCGACCAAGGACGGCAATACGACCTCAGGCGTCGGGCATGGAAACCCACCATCGGCTCCCTGGTCCTCGTGCGCCAGCATCACCTATCCAAGGCCGTGGATGGGTTCGCTGCCAAACTCGCGCCCAAGTTCGTCGGGCCATACAGAGTGGTCGCCCTTCCGTCCCCAAACATAGCCCAAATCCGCTTGCCCGGGAAACGAAAGGGCCGCCTTGCCAATATCGTCGACTTAAAAGAGTTCCATTCTTCTCTTCCCACAGGTGATGCAGACACCGACGACGACGCCATGTCGGAGGACAACACCGGTGTTCAAGCCGGGTCCGGCAAGCCACGGTCACCCGACCACGATATCAGCGAGGGGTGAATTTAAGTAGCCAACTAGGTGTTCTCTTACCCTAAGACTAGGGTTAGCAATTAGATTTAACATTAGAACATTTGCCTACTACTGCCCGTTAGGACATTAACATTTAAGTACCAGTTAGCCTAAGTTTGGATAGTTTTCCTTTCTTCCCATAGACGTACCTACGTATACGCTCACCGACGCCAGCAAGCATCCGACCCCGATGGAGCCCATCATCATAGACTCCAGCGACGAGGAGAACATGGCTCCAAACGGGCACGACGACAGGCCAGCGACCACCCGCGACCCCCGGCTACGCCCTGGCACGCTGTACGCCGGGAGGCTCACAAGGTCATGCCCGACGGGAATACGCCAGACCCCGGGCCCGGTACGAGTGACAACATCCTCGGATCGGCCCACCGCGTCTAGGACATCATCCCGCCGGGCAGCGCCGCGCCCTGTACCCGAGTCCTCGGATGAGTCACCACCAGCATCGCCACCGCAGCGCGTCGCGCCACCAACGCCCCCACGCCCCTTGGGCCGCTCCATCTCCCCGTTTTATGTAGACAACACTGGGCGCCGGATTCCGTGTTCCGAAGCTCCGCCGGCCCGACTGGACTTCTTGAACCCGGAATACACGGGACCCTATCGAGGATACCAGAACCCGGGTGCGCCGGATCACTCTCAATGGTACCCCAACCCGGGCACGCCAGGTTACTACCAGGGGCAGCCAAACCCGGCCGCTTCGGCACCACCGCCGGGGTAACGTTACAGCCGGTGTAGCCCTCGTCCACAGGACCCCGAGACGGACACGGAGGGTGAAGAAGAGGAGCCACGAACCCCCAGTCTGGCTGCCTCTACGCGCGACGAGGATTTCCTATTAGAGGACATCACCGACAGTGACGCCACGCCCCCATATCCCGGGTACCACGGAGAGGGAGCCAGCGAGCAGGACGACGACGCCCAAACCATAAGCAGCGAGCTCGACGATGACGCCTCCTCGGCGGCGCACTACCGATGGGAGGGAGAGGACCGATGCGGCTACTGGCGGGGATCGTGGATCCAGTTGATCCACACCCGCTATACCTCGACTTTCATCGAGGCCCCTTTCCGGCCGACTCCTGACCCCATCATCACCTTTCCGCCGTCACCCGAGAGGCTATGTATGCTGGCCCCAGACGAAGACTGGGAAATGGACGCCGGAAATGCTCCCGAGGTCCACCCGCCGTCGCCAGCACTGGGGGACGATGCGGTCCTACCCATTTTCCACGGCGACCAGGCAGACGACCACGCCCCACTGGCGTCCACGAGCCAATGCTCGCCCCACATCGGCGACCGGGCAGACGATAACGCCCCACTGGCGTCCACGAGCCAATGCGCGCTCCTCATCACCGACGAGGCATACGACCACGCCCCACTGGCGTCCACGAGCCAATGCGCGCTCCTCATCACCGACGAGGCATACGACAACGCTCCACTGGCGTCCACGAGCCAAGGCACGATTCACACCGCCGACGAGACAGACGAGCATGGCTACCAGCCCACCGGAAAGGCTATGCAGTGGGAGTCCGAGTCTAGCGACAGCGAGACGGAGACTGGACAGAGGTTCCGACGCAAAGAGGTGCAACCCCTGCCGCCGCCAGACGTTTCCGCACCAAGCCGCCAACCCTCGGCTTACCGCCGTGTGATATCTACCAAGAGGAACACGCCGCCCAATGCTGCCGAGACCAACCGCCGAGCATCGACCCACAGCCGCGCCACGATCGACGAGGAGGTCACTCCACCGGCCACCCCACGTGCCGGCCCCGGAGATCGCGGAATCGACCTCTCTCCAGGCACGCTGGACGTGTTGATGGAAGACCTCGAGCCTGCAGTGGAGGGATTAGTTCAGGAGCTAATCCCAGACTGGGACCTGATCACACCCCCGACAGCGCCAGCCCCGGCCACCGCCGCGGACGAGGCCCCTCCTCCAGCACCACGCTTTCCTCGCCAAGTCCCTGTGGACGCTTACTACACCACCGATGACCCAATGCCCGAACGAGTCGCCATCCCAGCCGCTTGGTGGACCAACACCCCCGACCAGCGGGTCCCACTGCCGGTCTGGCAAGAGATCGAGCGCCGATGCTACGCCGCTCGCTACAGCCGCCAACGCTTCCGCGTCCGCACCCAGGAGGGCCCCTACCAGGTCACAATGAAGACATCAGGAGAGGTCCAAATTCGTTCGGTTCGGCGGAGTAGGGAGGGAGTGTGACGCCTCCATTCCTTCGGCGCACAACCTCTCCTATAAAATAAGCATAGATACTAAGCATATAAATAATCCCCCTTATATTATAACTAGCTTGTAACTATAGGTAGAAGGACGGCACTGAAGCCATTATAACTATTAAACCTTTTTGTTGGCATTGGAGCCGTAAGCAAGACAACCTTGAAGTATATTTAAAGTTGGAATAATTAAGTTAAAATAATAAGCTAAGTTCAGCACCTCAGAGGTCGCTGAACCGGGTACATTATCGACTAGTCGAACTAGTCGAACCAGATCAGTTCTCGGTGAACCGGTTCGAACCACCGGTTCACTCAAAGGCTATGACAGCTCGCGTCTTCCGCCATTCGCTTCTTCCGCTAAAAACTTTGCACCGAGGCAGACGTGCCCATCGCCGCGTCTCCGTGACCAAGTCGAAATCTAAGTGCATCGTGTCCTTGTCGACGACCGCGACGTACGCCCCCACACAGTGACACTAGCTACAAGAGCCCCAGCATTCACGCGCCGAATCTTTTGCCAGGCAACGACCGCGATCGGCAGCCACACGTCCACAGACACGTGGGCTAGATTTGTAATGTAGTATGCACACATATTGAATACGCACTGTACCCAGAGTACTTAAAGAGTGCGCACTGTAATACAATGTTGCAGTGTTTATACAAATCAAAGTCCCGGTCATAAACCATGAGTGGCCGAAATATGAACCGATCGCTAAGGCTTAGCCTGCACTCAGAAAGTGCTAGGGTCGGCATATTTGCATCGAATGGACTACACGGGCATACCCCTCGCGCCTCCACTCGCTGTACATAAGTACATTTCCTTATACATAAGAATACTTATACACAACCGTCTCTCTGCCGCCGCCTGCGAGCAGCGCAGCTCCGAGACTTAGCTTACTTTATAACTTAAGGAACTCTGTATAATCACTAACTCATCGAGCCTTGGAGCGGCATCATAGGTGCCCTTAGCTAACTCTTAAAAACTCCGGAGCGGCACCATTGCCGCACCAACATAAATAAAATAAAAATCAATTATTATCAAACACAAAACAATACCAAGTCTTGTCCTTTTTGGAGGAAATATTGAATGGCGGAATAAACTTATTTCATGGCGACCGTGACAGCGATTAAAGAACCTGCAAAAGAAATATAATTATCCCAAGGAATAATAAGTGCTAAGTGCTGAGCTAAAAGTGAAAGTGTGCTAACCAAAGAAAAAAAAATACCAATGTCCTACCCTAAGCCTCAAGGGGTAAAACGGAGCAACCTACCAGCATTCCTGGAATGGGATGCGTTTGAACTGATGTTCGACATTATAGGCAGAGGTGTTACAGATCATGAAGACATCGCAACAGAAATAAGAGCTTATTTCAACACCCACCATGGTGGGAATTGGCAGTGCATAGCGGGAAGAAAAATACATTCACTATTACTACGATGTGGAGGTAGTACTTTTCCAACTTAAGGACAACGCTACTCAGTGATAGAGTGTGATGGGAAGAGCTGGCGTAAAACATCGCATGAAGAAAAGAATAGCCCAATTAAAGTGGCTTTTATACACCAACCAGCCACCGCCGCCGTGGGCTACAGCCCAGAAATTACAAGCTGAACTAGACTTCCTGAAAACAGAAGCCCCATAATTTCTCGCAGCGCCGACCAACCAATACAAACAACACATAAAAATAAAACAATACAACCACTTCCGAAGCCAATTCCGCAAAAGCCGCAAAACTGCCCGAAGGACTGCCCAGGACCACTCTACATCGCTGAATGCAAATATACATGCATGAAGCCAAATAATTAACCTGTGCGAAGACCAGCACCGGTATCGCCTGAGCCCATAGGCCCAGGACAACAGCAGCTGAACACCAACCTGTGCGAAGACCAGCACCGGTGCCGCCTGAGCCCATAGGCCCAGGACAGCAGCAGCCGATAATACAAGTGCGGGTGGCAGGCCGCCTCTTACACCTACGAGGGAGCGTCAGCGCTGGCGACGACCAGCGCGACGCCACTGGATCCCGGGCAGCAGAAAAATAATATCATTTGCACTGCGCTGCATAATTTTTTGCGAGTGCACTGCGATGCACCTTTTTTTTTCAACACCCATTGAAAAATTGAGCGGAATCCTATCTGCCCGATTAGCAGCGTAGCCCGTAAAGCTATGCGACAAAGTAGGCAGGTGGATTGTTAAATTTGATGCACAGTAATGCAATAAGTAAAATTTCATTGGAGGACCACAATAATTACAATATCACATACAAACCAAAAATATATGTAAAACCCACAAAAATGACTTTGGACATAAAAACAGTGGATTCCACTGCCAACGTCATTAATAAAGTAGAGTCAAGTAACATCGATTTATATTGGGTACACATACTTTTGATAATCATTGTTGTTATCATGTGCGCTAATTTCTTTTATAAAATTTACAAACTGCACAGCAGATGCTTAAAACAGAAATATATAAGCCGGGGAAATGACCTGGATAAGATTTAGGCAGTATAAAGAAAATGGCAATAGGAGCAATGATTAAAATCCACATATTCAATAATTAAAATTTTCAAAATTTTTCAATAAAACAACACAAAAATACAAACACACACACACACACACGTTTTTATTCCACAAAGTATGGCTAAACTAAAGTATGGAATGGAATTAAATTTATAAAGAATTATCAGAAATAAAAACAAACTTTGATAGATCATACAAATCGTTAGCTCAGAATAGACCAATCCAGAAAAACACAGTCAGGAAACACGTCGAGATATTGGTAGAGTGCTTTAACGAAGCACGTATACTAATATATGAGTATAAGGATAAATTGACTCACGATCATTGGACACAAGTATCTAAACTTCTGATACGCCTCCGATCTAATTTATTATCTATCAAACAAAAATTCGGTTTGGAAATATCGGTACCAACCGTATTGACCATACCAATAGCAGTCTCAACTGCACCTGACCCTGAATCGACAGAAACAGACGAGGAAGAGTCAGAAGAGCCACCTGAAGTAAGCCCGAAAATAGAAGAAGAAGATTTAAATAATCTCACTATTCACGCAATATACGCTGATAACTCACAAAATAATAAACTAAACAACACAATAACCATGGCCGATGAAACAATTGCCCAAAGGGCATATATTAAGGAAATCTCGAGCGCCATTCCTGAATTTAACGGTCAAAAGCTTCATCTACAAAGATTTGTTACGGCCTTAAAATTAGTCAATTTAACGAAGGGAACCTTCGAGCATATAGCCGTAGAAGTTATTAAGTCCAAAATTGTAGGATCTACTCTATACAAAGTTCAAGATGAGACCACAATAAACGACACAGTAGTCGGTGAAACATCCGACGTAATATAGGCTAAAATGGCTCAAACAATACAGAAAGGCAAAACTGCCGAAAAATTCACTACCGATATAGACAACTTGCGAAAGCTCTTAGAAGCTTCATATATTGATGAAGGCCTCTCAGCCGAACACGCTGATAATTTCAGCACAAAGGAAGCCATAACCACAATGGTCAAAAATTGTGAGCATGGCCGACTCAAGACAATACTGGAAGCTGGCAACTTCACCACCATGAATGAAGCCGTCACTAAGTACCTACAATGTAGTACTGAAATGACGGGTAATGCCAACGCCATATTGTACACACAGAGAGGTAACAACTATCGCGGTAATAATTACCGAAATAATTATCGCGGTAGGGGTAATAGCCGAGGTAACTACCGAAATAATGGCTACTACCAGAATAACCAAAATAACGGTTATAACCGCAGCTACAACAATAACAACAATAATTATTATAGAGGAAACAACCGTGGCGGAAACAACCGCGGCGGAAATAGCAGCGGATCGAACCGAAACAATCAAAACAATGTCCGAGTAGCCCAAGGCACATCGGAAAACTCGCAAACCCCTTTAAATATTCAAAATTAGACGAAGCTAGAATTCACACAGTTAATCTCAGCCAAAATGTATTTGTTCCATTTTTCAATGTAGCTACTGGGAAACAGCTTACGTTTTTAATAGATACGGGTGCAGACATTTCAATTTTAAAAGAAACTTCGGATAACTTCCAAAACATTCAATACGATTACATAATAGATATCAAAGGCAAAAGTCAAGAAATAACCAAATCTCAAGGTTTAGTTTCAATTGAGATACAAACAACTAAATACATAATTCCACACGATTTTCATATCGTAGATTCACACTTCCCTATTCCATGCGATGGAATATTAGGAATTGACTTTATTAAAAAATACAACTGTCAATTAGACTTCAAGCCATCTGAAGACTGGCTTATAATTAGACCCAATAATTTGAAATTCCCAATTAATGTACCAATAACTTACAGTTCTGCCAACAATTCAATACTTCTGCCAGCAAGATCCCAAGTTATTCGGAAAATTGTACTTAATTCAAAAGAAGACAGTGTATTAATTCCAAATCAGGAAATTCAGCATGGTATTTACGTTACGAATACCATAGCAACATCCCAAAATGCCTTCATAAGATTAATTAATACAACAAATACAAACCAAATAGTAAGTACAGATAATCTAACATGTGAACCACTTTCGAACTACGATGTAGTCAACACATATCCAGACAATAGAGAAAAATCTGTACTATCGCAACTTTCAAAAAACTTCCCTCCACAATTCAAGTCACAGCTTTCCAACTTATGCACTCAGTATAGCGATATATTCGGATTGGAAACCGAATCAATAACAACGAACAATTTCTATAAACAAAAACTGAGATTAAAAGATGATGAGCCAGTCTATATAAAGAACTATCGAAGCCCTCATAGTCAGGTTGATGAAATTCAAAAGCAAGTCGGAAAATTAATCTCCGACGGGATTGTCGAACCATCTGTTTCTGAATATAATAGCCCTCTGTTACTTGTTCCTAAGAAATCATCCCCAGGGTCCAATTTAAAGAAATGACGATTGGTAATTGACTATCGTCAG